AGTACAGGAGAACTCTGGCTGGCATCTGGCAGGTACCCTTCTGAGACGAAACTATCAGAGGAAGAAATAGGCAGCAATCTTTGCTGTTCTGTAGTCCCGGCTGGTGATTCACAGGCAAGCAGGGTCTGGAGTGAACTTCTAGCAAACTCCAGCACACCTCCAGCAAAGGCACCTGACTGTTAGAAGTTAAACTAACAAATAAATAGTTTCAACATCAACAGAAAGGAGGTCCACTCAGAGACTCTACCCAAAGGTTACCAACTTCAAAGATCAAAGGTAGATAAATCCATGAAGAAGAAAAGAAACCAGGACAAAAAGGTTGAAATCTCCTCCTCTCCAGCAAGGAAACAAAACTGGATGGAGAATGAATTTGATGAATTGACAGAAGCAGACTTCAGAAGGTGGGTAAAAACAGTAACAATAACAGACTTCAGAAGGTGAGTAATAACTTCTCCAAGCTAAAGGAGCATGCAAAGAAGCTAAGAACCTTGAAAAAAGGTTAGAGGAATTACTGTCTAGAATAACCAGGAATTGCGATACTAGTCTCTGATAAAACAGACTTTAAACCAACAAAGATCAAAAGAGACAAGGGCATTATATAATGGTAAAGGAATCAATGAAACAAGAAGAGCTAACTATCCTAAATATAAATGCACCCAATTCAGGAGCATCCAGATTCATAAAGCAAGTTCTCAAGGACATACAAAGAGAGTTAGACTCCCACACAATAATAGTGGGAGACTGTAACACCCCACTGTCAATATAAGATGGGTCAATGAGACAGAAAATTAATAAAGATATGAAGGACTTGAACTCAGATCTGGACCAACCAGAGCTAATAGACATCTACAGAACTCTCCACCCCAAATCCACAGAATATATATTCTTCTCAGTACCACATTGTGCTTATTCTAAAATTGACCACATAATTGGAAGTAAAACACTCCTCAGCAAATGCAAAAGAATGGAAGTCATAACAAACGTCTCTCAGACCACAGTGCAATAAAATTAGAACTCAGGATTAGGAAACTTACTCAAAACTGCACAACTACATGGAAATTGAACAACCTGCTCCTGAATGACTACTGGATAAATAATGAAATGAAGGCAGAAATAAAGATGTTATTTGAAACCAATGAGAATGAAGACACAACGTACCAGAATCTCTTGGACACATTTAAAGCAGTGTGTAGATGGAAATGTATGGCACTATATGCCCAAAAGAGAAATGAGGAAAGATCTAAAATTGAAACCCCAACATCATGATTAAAAGAACTAGAGGAGCAAGAACAAACAAATTCAAAAGCTAGTGGAAGACAGGACATAACTAAGATCAGAGCAGAACTGAAGGAGACAGGGACAAAGAAATACCCTTCAAAAAAATCAATGAATCCAGGAGCTGATTTTTTAAAAAGATCAACAAAATAGACAGACCACTAGCCAGATTAATAAAGGAAAAAAGAGAGAAGAATCAAATAGATGCAATAAAAAATGATAAAGGGGATATCACCACTGGTCCCTCAGAAATACAAACTACCATCAGAGAATACTATCAACACCTCTATGCAAATAAACCAGTAAATCTAGAAGAAATGGATAAATTCCTGAACACTTACGCCTTTCCAAGACTAAACCAGGAAGAAGTCAAATCCCTAAATAGACCAATAACAAGGTCTGAAATTGAGGCGGCAATCAACAGCCTACCAATCAAAAAAGTCCAGGACCAGATGGGTTCACAGCCGAATTCTACCAGAGTTACAAAGAGGAACTGGTACCATTTCTTCTGAAACTATTCCAAACAATAGAAAAAGTGGGAATCCTCCCTAACTCATGAGACCAACATCATTCCGATACCAAAGCCTGGCAGAGACACAATTAAAAAGGAAAATTTCAGGCCAATATCCATGATGAACATTGATGTGAAAATCCTCAATAAAATACTGGCAAACCAAGTCCAATAGCGCATGAAAAAGTTTATCTATCATGATCAACTCGGCTTCATCCCCAGGATGCTAGGCTGGTTCAACATACAAAAATCTATAAATGTAATCCATCAGATAAACAGAACCAAAGACAAAAACCACATGATTATCTCAATAGATGCAGAGAAGACCTTCGACAAAATTCAACAGCCTTTATGCTAAAAACCCTTAATAAACTAGGTACTGATGCAATGTATCTCAAAATAATAAGAGCTATTTATGATAAACCCACAACCAATATCATACTGAATAGGGAAAAACTGGAAGCATTCTCTTTGAAAACTGGCACAAGACAAGGATGCCCTCTCTCACTTCTTCTATTCAACATAATATTGGAAGTTCTGGCCAGGGCAATCAGGCAAGAAAAAGAAATAAAGTGTATTCAATTAGGAAAGGAGGAAGTCAAATTGTCTCTATTGGCAGATGACATGATTATATATTTAGAAGACCCCATCGTCTCAGCCCCAAATCTCCTTAAGCTGATGTGCAACTTCAGCAAAGTCTCAGGATACAAAATCAATGTGTAAAAATCACAAGCATTCCTATATAGCAACAACAGACTTAAAGACAACCAAATCATGAGTGAACTTCCATTCACAATTGCTACTAAGAAAATAAAATCCCAGCCACGCGTGGTGGCTCATGCCTGTAATCCAAGCACTTTGAAGGCCAAGGTGGGCAGATCACCTGAGGTCGGGAGTTCAAGACCAGCCTGACCAACATGGTGAAACCCCATCTTTATTAAAAAAAAAAAAAAAAAAAAAAAAAATTATTTTATTAAAAAAAAAAAAAAAGAAAGAAAATAAAATCCCTAGGAATCCAACTAACAAGGGATGTGAGGGACCCCTTCAAGTAGAACTACAAACCACTGCTCAAGGAAATAGGGACACAAACAGATGGAAAAATATTCCATGCCCATGGTTAGGAAGAATCAATATTGTGAAAATGGCCATACTGCCCAAAGTAATTTATAGAGTCAATGCTATCCCCATCAAGCTACCTTTGACTTTCTTCACAGAATTGGAAAAAAACCACCTTAAACTTCATATGGAACCAAAAGAGAGCCTGCATAGCAAAGACAATTCTAAGCAAAAAAAAAATAAAAATTAAAAAATTTTAAAAAGCTGCAGGTATCACGCTACCTGACTTCCAGCTATACTACAAGGCCACAGTCATCAAAACAGCATGGTACTGGTACCAAAACAGAGATATAGACCAATGGAATAAAACAGAGGCCTCAGAAATAATGCCACATATCTACAACCATCTGATCTTTCACAAACCTGACAAAAACAAGCCATGGGAAAAGGATTCCCTGTTTAATAAATGGTGTTGAGAAAACTGGCTAGCCGTAAGCAGAAAGCTGAAACTGGATCCCTTCCTTACACTGTATACAAAAATTAACTCCAGATGGATTAAAGATTTAAACATAAGACCTAACACTATATAAATTCTAGAAGAAAACCTAGGCAACACCATTCAGCACATAGGAATAGGCAAGGACTTCATGACTAAAATACCAAAAGCAATGGCAATGAAAGCCAAAATAGACAAATGGGACCTAATTAAACTAAAGAACTTCTGCATAGCAAATAAACCATCATTACAGTGAACCAGCAACGAACAGAATCGGAAAAAATTTTTGCAATTTACCCATCTGACAAAGGACTAATATCCAGAATCTACAAAGAACTTAAACAAAATCTACAAGAAAAAAAGAAACAATCCCATCAAAAAGTGGCAAAGGATATGAACAGACACTTCTCAAAAGAAGACATTTATGCAGTTAACAAACATATGAAAAGAAGCTCATCATCACTGATCATTAGAGAAATGCAAATTAAAACCATATTGAAATACCATCTCATGCCAATTATAACGACAATCATTAAAAAATCAGGAGACAACAGATGCTGGAGAGGATGTGGAGAAATAGGAACACTTTTACACTGTTGATGGGAGAGTAAATTAGTGCAACCATTGTGGAACACAGTGTGGCAATTCCTCAAGGATCTAGAACCAGAAATACTATTTGATCCGGCAATCCCATTACCTGGTACATACCCAAAAGATTATAAGTCATTCTATTATAAAGACACGTGCACACGTATGTTTACTGCAGCACTGTTCACAACAGCAAAGACTTGGAACCAACCTAAATGCCCATCAATGATAGACTAGATAAAGAAAACGTGGCATATACACACCATACTATGCAGCCATAAAAAAGGATGAGTTCATGTCCTTTGCAGGCACATGGATAAAGCTGGAAACCATCATTCTTAGCAAACTGACACAAGAACAGAAAACCAAACACTGCATGTTCTCACTCTTAAGTGGGTGTTGAGCAATGAGAACACGTGGACGCAGGGAGGGGAACATCACACAGTGGGGACTGTTGGGGGGTCGGGTTGCTAGGGGAGGAATAGAAAGGGGTGGGGGGATAGGCGAGGGATGGCATTAGGAGAAATACCTAATGACAGGGTGATGGATGCAGGAAACCACCATGCATGTGTATACCTATGTAACAAACCTGCACGTTCTGCACATGTACCCCAGAGCTTAAAGTATAATTAAAAAAAAAAAAAAGAAAGTTGGAGTTGTCCTATAATAATGAAAAGTTGGAAACAATCTAAATGTTGAACTATATGGCACAGGTTAAATACATTATACTAAGTCCATACCATGGAACACTACTAAGCCCATGGAAAAATATTCATAATATACTGTTGAAGAGGAAAAATGTAGATTACAAGAGCATATATATATATCAAAAATCTTTAAAAGATTTATATATATGTATTCTTGTAAGTATATAAGAAAAAAGCATGAAGGGTGTTAATATTTATCTTTGGATAATAAAATTATTGCTGTTTTATTTTCCATCTTTTGTTTATGTGTGCTCTACAAAAAAATGCATGTTTATTTATTAACGAATGTATCAATTTACATGGGCAGTACTGAGAATATAGTGGGATAACATTTCAGATAACAGCAGATTAAATTAGCTGTACTTACTATTATTTCTGATGCAAAATATCTGAAAGGATCATTTCCACCTTCTTCAGACTGTTCAAGGAATTGTGCTGTCAGCAAAGGGCATTTCAAGCTTTTGAAACAACTAAGGCATAAGAAATAGGTAACTATGAAATCAACATTTCCAAGTATAAAATCCCTAGTTCTTCACATCTAATTTAATTTTACTTGAAAAAATAACATAAGCATGGTTATGGTTTGAATGCTCTCCAAAAGTCATGTTAAAATTTAACTGCCATAAAGAGGTGGGAATTAGCCCACGGGCGCTCCACTCTCATTTATAATGCTATTGTAAAAGGCAAATTCAGCCCACTTTTGCCCTTTTACCTTCAGCCAGCCATATTATGACACAGCTAGAGGTCCTTGCCAGATGCCAGCGCCTTAACTGTAGACTTCCCAGCCTCCAAAACTGTGAACCATGAATTTCTGTTCATTATAAATCACCCAGTCTTAGGTATTCTGTTATATCAGGACAAATGGACTGAGACAAGCAACAATAACTCAATGGTCTATAAAACTTGGTGATGTAACATCCTTCCTACGAGTAATGGGGACAACATGAAAACACCTTGCTAGACTCAACATGGTAAGACTGACTTCTACATCTGAGCTATTCCATTGAATTCTGAATGTCTGAGGGCCAGTGATAGTCTATGATGTAGTTTTCATTCGTTCAAAGAAAAAAATCATGAAATATGGTCATGTTTTCATAAAGCTCTGTATGTCTTATTTAGAAAATCAAACTTTATTCTGTGGTTAAGCCTTTCCTATTTCTTTAGCTAAAATACCTTTTCTTTTATGAAATAATGGGTCTTACCAATGGTAAAAAATCTCTTTTTTGAGAGAGCATCCCTGTCACCCAGGCTAGTGTGCAATGGCACAAAAACAGCACACTGTAACCTCAAACTCCTCGGTTCAAGGGATCCTCCTCCCTCAGCCTCCCAAGTAGCTGGGACTATAGGCACATACCACTGTGCTCAGCTAATTTTTTTTATTTTTTGTAGAGACAGGGTCTTACTATGTTGCCCAGACTGGTCTCAACCTCCTGAGCTCAAGCAATCCTCCTACCTTGGCCTCCCAAAGTGTTAGGATTACCGGCATGAGCCACCATGTATGGCTGTAAATTTTTTCTAAATGTCCTAACCTGACAAGTAGAAAGCTAAAAACAGTTTTGGTCTCCAAAATTAAAACATTATTTTATATTTTATTCTTCAAGGTCTTGCTATGTTGCCCAGGCTGTTCTTGAACTCCTAGCCTCAAGTGATCCTCTCACGTCAGCCTCCCAAGTAGCCAAAATTTAAAAATTACTGGTCCATGTAATTCAATAATCTAGTCCAGCATTGTCCAATAGAAATACAACATAAGCCCCATGTATAATTTAAGATCTTTTAGTGGACACATGAAAAATGTAGTAAGAATGGGAGAGACGATTTTAATAATTTATCTTAACCCAATGTATCTGAAATATTGTCATTTCGACATGTTATCAATATAAAAATTATTATGGTTTTTTTTTTTTTTTAATAACAAGTCTCCAAAATCCAGGGGACATTTTATACTTAAAGTACATCTGAATTTGGACCAGCCATATGTCCAGTGCTATAGCCATACTGAACAGTACATGTTTAGTCTATAGTACCCATGGAGGGAATGCTGTTGGGTGGATAAGCTACTACTATTTTTGTGGTCAAGTTGGATGTTCTATCTGGTGGTCCTTCTGCTGCTTTCTTTGAAAGAGTAAAACACACTTTCTCCACAGAGCTACATATACGTATTTCCCACACTCACCTTGAGCTATATGTATCTATTTCCTCCACTTTCATTATTCACTTACTATAATGAATAAAGGCAATACGTAGAAGAATATAAAGTAAATGAATGGATTTTGGTTTTGTAACTATTTTAATTAATTAATTAATGTTTTAGAGACAGGGTCTTACTCTGTTGCCCAGGCTGGAGTGCAGTGGCACGATCATCATTCATTGCAGCCTCATCTCCTGGACTCATCCTCTAGCCTCAGCTTCCCAAGTAGTAGGACTACAGGCATATGCCACCACAACTAGCTAATTTTTGAAATTATTTTTGTAGAGATGGGGGTTTCACTATGTTGCCAAGGCTGGTCTCAAATTCCTGGTCCCAAGCAATCTTCTCGCCTCAGTCTCCCAAATTGATGGGATTACATGTGTGAGCCACTACACCCAGCCTATAATTTTTTTAAATATAAATGTCTCAAGTTCCCATGCTGTATCAGTTGAACCCCATATGCTTCTAAAATTCAAAATCTGAAACTAAATTTCTATTTATATGTCAAACAAAGTGAAGAAACATAAAATAACTGAACTATCAATTATTTAAGTCCATTGTGAGATGTTCTTAAAAAATATACTTACAATTTCAGTAATTCATCCTTTAACTTTTCATTTTCCAGTGAGTTTTCTTTGTTATCAATGACCTCTTCCACAAAAGGCTTAGTAAACTCTATTAAGGCCTTACAACACTGACAAAGGCCATAGTCATCCATTTGTATTTGTTCTTTTGAGTATGGAACAGGAAGAAGAGATAGCTGATTCCAAAGGGTAGACAATGCTAATCCAATTGAATATGCTTTGTTATGAAGTTTCTGAATCACTAAAACAGAGATCAAGTTGTCACTCTTCAAGTATGCTAAACATGAGACAAGAAATTCAGCAAGTGGAATTATAAGACACTTCCTCTTCCCACATTTGAACAACTCTTGAAATCAAGATGGCACATCACAGTTTAATTGGCAGTGGTTTTTTCTTCTTAGTTGTGCATAAAATAATAGAGCATCTTGCCATGAAATGTTGTTAGGTTATGTTTATAACAGACTATTTATTTAAGACAGAAACATGTTCTTACCATGTTTTTTGGTTGCTGTAAACACAAGATATGAGTGTACTGTAAACTATAGAGCACTATACAAATAAGAGGTGGTGTTATTCAATTTTTTTTTTCCCTAGAAGACTGAATATTACAGGTGGTATGAAGCTGGCAGGCATTCATATTTAAAACAAATTTAACTTCTGATTCACAATCTGATAGGTCCCTCTATCAGATTGTGAGATACACATATTTCCTGAAAAATAACCTCTTCCCATGGATACTGTCTGCCTTGGTTGCCAAGATCCATTACTTACCAATATTATTACTATACTCAGCCATGGAGTCTTATCATCCTCCATCTTCTTATTTCATTCTTCAGTATTACCTTTGCTATGTCCAATCCAGCCTCCCAATGCAGAGGCTGAGCAATGCCCTGCCTGATACTCTTCTGGACTACCATAAGTCCTACCATAAGGACTTCAGATTTAGTACTGTAGACACCACAGAGGTAATCCTTTAAATATGTTTAAAGAGAAAATTCTAGATTTAAGCAGCAGATAGGAAAGTTAGGCAAAAAGGTATAGGTTTAACGTACCACATGAAAAATACAATGACATTCAACAGAGTATTTATAGGGTACCCACTCTGGCTAGATACTATAATTTTTCTATGAGCATCAGGATTCACATTGGCCTTGCTATTATTGGGTTAAGCACAGTACTAATTAGCTGTAAACTTTACTTTGGTGTAGTACTGATATTTTGGTGTAACCATCAAGGCACTTAGAGATACAACAAGAAGTACTCTGATATCAAAATTCTCATTACCTGTCTGTAATGGCTGAAGCAAAAGAAGAATACTTCGGGATATCTGTTTTCCAGAGGGCTCTTCAATCAGTTCAAGCAAACCCAACAATAATTCCTTTGGATTGCATAACTATAAAAATATTCACAATTGAACCTGTTTAATACAAGTTGTATTTAAAGCCACATTATTACTATTTTTAAGGCACATATTGACAAAATGTTACACAATTTTTTTTTGCTTAACAGTAAAATTATTTATACAATTGTTTAAAAATATGCACCAGCAAAACACAGAACCTATAATGGTCAAAACTGTAAAACTAAAAAGCAAGAAGTCAACGGATCTTTAAGCTCATGTTTCCCTTGAGCTTCACCTGTCTACTCTGGAAGTTGCCTTAATAGATTCCCAGGGACTCCACCAGGTGGTACCTTTCAATCCCGAATGCTGTTTAAGTCCTTTGAGCTTCACCTGCCTACTCTGGAAGTTGCCTTAATAGATTCCCAGGGACTCCACCAGGTGGGACCTTTCAATTCCATACTGTAAGTCCTTTGAGCTTCACCTGTCTACTCTGGAAGTTGCCTTAATAGATTCCCAGGGACTCCACCAGCTGGGACCTTTCAAACCCATGCTATAAGCATAGACTAGTCCAGAATCTCTCTTGTATTTCTTGAACAGATAAAACTCTGCATTGCTTTCTAACTGGCAGTATCTTATCACCTCACTTACCTGGTTTTTTAAAAGCTCCCAGCTCCCGCTGCCAATAACTCATACAGATGGGGCTCTTTCCAAATATATATTTGGGTATATTTGCACTGACCACTAAGCAGTTTCTTATAATATCCTTTTTCTCAGAATTTCTCTTTCTTAGCCACCAATATTGACTTTAAACTCTACTAGACTTTTACCAAGGGTCTTTAAGGTTGTTAGTCACAACTGCTTTGTGTGCTACCCCCTATTCCTACTTCCATTTTAATCATTTGCATTCTAGGCTTTCCATTTTCTTTTAGGGAACATACCACAGAGGCAAGAGGACTGAGATTTTATTCTAGATCCAATGTTGCCAAAAGATAAATGCGGCCTTGAACTATCTCTCTAAACCTTGTATTCCACATCCATACAATAAGGTTACTTGTTAAAGTATAGCTTCCCAGGTCTCTCGCTGGAGATCTGAATCAATGGGTCTGATATGACGTTAACATGAGGTTAGACAATTCTTATATCCAGAAAATTTGGGAAATCTTGAAATGGAGTTGCCTATCCAATCAATAAGACAGAGTCTTTTCTCCAATGAGTTCCTTTCTGCACTTACTTCCATAAACCAAAAGCTTTTTTACCAAACAATAAACGTTAAAGGGAATTATAAAACATTGCCCTGTGTTATGACAAAGAGAACCTGGTTTTGTTAACTTACCTTTACCAATAAATCAAGGATCAAAAAATAAACTTTTCTTTTATCATCATCCTCCCTCTCTTTCCACAAAAGGCATCGAACAACAGGCCCAACAAGATTCCAGCCCATATTCTTGATGATGACCTGTAAAAACATTTTCAAAATAAAGCAAACACTGCCATCTATAGGACTCTCGCAGTGTGCTTTCCTATCTTGGAAGAGCTCAGAATAGTCTCTTAAATAGGAAGATGAGACAAGTGAGGCCTATGACATTTCACCACAGACTTTCCAGGGTTGACTGCTAACAGATATCAACATTTTAAAATAGTTTTTAATATGTTCACTGAAGAAAGGCAAAAGGGTCTTTACTTTTTATCAGGCAAGTTAGTGTTTCCCAAAATTTAAATAGTTCCTCTATTTCCAACAAAAGAGTCAATCTGCTTAAGGCAAGTACTTAACATCCACAGAGAATTCTGCTCCCCTTATTCATAAAGAAATCCAGCCAATGCTCGTGTACTTTTTAAAGTTCCTTGGAGTCTCTAAATATAATCATTGTAATTTATATAAAAAGAAGAGATGAAACTTCATTAATTTTCTCTCCTCCATACAAGTGGCTTCTATGTTCAAAGATATTTCAGAATGCCTACTACACAAGTAAAAGTTTATCTTTATAATTAGTAATTCACATTCATTATCAAAATCACTGATTTTCAAAAGTATCAACAATGCCACTTCTCTGTGACTGGTATAGAACTCCTGACCTCAGGTGATCCACCCTCCTCGGCCTCCCAAAGTGCCGGGATTATAGGCGTGAACCACTGTGCCTGGCCTATAGTTAGTTTTGAACATTGTCTTATCAATATCTAAACCTCTGCATTTAGCTGACCAGACATTACAGAGGTGATTCTCAAACTATTAAGACTAGGCCTCGGCTGGGCGCGGTGGCTCAAGCCTGTAATCCCAGCACTTTGGGAGGCCGAGGCGGGTGGATCACGAGGTTAAGAGATCGAGACCATCCTGGTCAACACGGTGAAACTCCGTCTCTACTAAAAATACAAAAAATTAGCTGGGCATGGTGGTGCGTGCCTGTAATCCCAGCTACCCAGGAGGCTGAGGCAGGAGAATTGCCTGAACCCAGGAGGCAGAGGTTGCAGTGAGCTGAGATCGCGCCATTGCACTCCAGCCTGGGTAACAACAGTGAAACTCCATCCCCCCAAAAAAAAAAAAAAAAAAAAAAAGACTAGGCCTCACAATGTTTAAATCTATCCTGTTAGCTATTCAAAAGCATGCTAAAGATAAAACACTGAGGCATGCAATGCCTGAAAAATAATTTGTTTATACTTCCCTTTTCCTTCTGCCTCACTGATGTGGTGCTGATCCTCATCTCCTTGCCAGGCTTCTTCTCTCTACCTCCTTCTTAAATTCCTCAAGGTGGGATCTTGGGGCTCTTCTCTTATTCCCCTTTTCTGTGAACTCAGGTAAATTCTTGTTTTCTTCCCCCTCAATTACCTAATCTTTAGGTAATTAAAGTCTCACAGATACGTGTCTCAGAGATCTGCATCTTAATTCCTGTATCTCTGCTGAGCTCTAAACCTTATTTTCCAATTGCCTGCTGCACTTAAACTGAAAATTTCTAAAAGTCGACTCACTTGTGTTCCTTCAGGAAACTTTTCCCTCTACTTAGGTTGCCTTTTTCTATTCACATTATCATATATTATACTTTCAGAGGTTAGAAACCCAGTCATTTTTGATCCCTTACGCTCTCAATCAACAAATTCCCTGTATTCTACCCTCAACCATATGCTGTACAGCGCCAACCAGAGGTAGAGCAGAGCAGTTAGGAGCTCCAAAACCATGCTACACAGGTCTGAATCTTGGATGTCATATAAAAGCTGACTTACTTTTGGGAAAATTATTTAACCTTTCAGTCAAAATGAACACCTACCTTCTGAGATTTTGGAAAGACTAAGTTAATAAATGTAAAGGACTAAAGACAGCATCTGGTACATGTAAATAATAAATATTAGTAGCTATTAATTTTTTTTATTAGCTAAAAGCTAATTACTTTCAAAGGTTATCCTCTAAGAATGAAATTAGAAAAAAAATCAAGAAGAGTTTAAAAAACATAAAATTTATTATATGAGGGGGTTACAAAGTTATCATAAACTTATATCAAAAACAAAGTTAAATAGAATGTCCTAGTTATTTTAATAAAAAATAAAAAGGGGATAAGCCATTTGAACTACTAAGATTATATAACAATGTATGATTAAAAAGTTTTAGGAATCCCCCAAATCCAATCAAGATCCCCTGGACAGAAATACAGGTCAACATGACTACACTGTGATATCAAGAAAGAAAACTTTCAATAAATAAATAGCACTGCAAATGAAGAAAGAGTATGTATCTAGAACAAAGATGGTCTTGGTATTGGTCTGCTCTCATGCTGCTATGTAGAAATACCCAAGACTGGGTAATTTTTAAAGAGGTTTAACTGATGTGCAGTTCCACATGGCTAGGGAGGCCTCAGGAAGGAAACAGAATCACGGTGGAAGGCACCTCTTCACAGGGCAGCAGGAGAGACTGAGTGTCAGCAGGGGAAATGCCAGATGCTTCAGATCTTGTGAGAACTCACTCACTATCATGAGACGCATGGGGGAAACCATCCCCATGATTCAATTACCTCCAGCTGGTCCTACCCTTGACACATAAGGATTATTACAATTCAAAGTGAGATTTAGGTGAGGGCACAGGGCCAAACAATAGTAGTCTTCCTTATAATGAGTGTCCAAAGACACAAAATTTGGCAGGGTGTAGCCAACATAGTGTTCCAGGAAAAAGTTATTCCTGATCCACAAACAAGATCCTTTTCTATAGTGGAGAATGATTTCTCAAACTATTGTAACTGGATGATACTGGCTAGTATGACATACAGTTCTTCTCCTGTTCTAATTCTATGCACACAAAATGCTGTTTTAATTAAAATTTGGTTTTCCACACACTTTTGGCTGGAGAAGAATGGGCTGATCACCCAAAATGAATATTTAGCCTGCTTGATATGTATATTTCTCAATGTAAATTAATCACTCAAACACCAGTTTTGGACTCCGTAAACCAGAAGTAATTCTATTCCTTCTAAAATCTCTTTACTTCAACTACAGCACTTATTTATTTTGCCTCATTATTGTTAGTTGCTTACACTTTTATCTGTTTGACCAGACTGTAAAAGCACCTTCAAGTATACGAATATTTCTTCTTCTTCTTTTTTTTTTTTTTTTTCCCCTGAAACAGAGTCTTACTCTGTTGTCCAAGATGGTCTCAAACTCCTGGGCTCAAGTGATCTGCCTGCCTTGGCCTCCCACAGTGCTGGGATTACAACTGTGAGCCACTGTGCCCAGCCTAAATATTTCTAATTCTTTTTTTGTTTTCAGTTCCCTATTGTGAAAATATAAGCAGATTCTTAAATGTTTGATGAATAAATGACTGGATGAATAGCATCATGTAATTATTCTCTTCCCAAGACTGAAAAGTAAACAACAAGATTGTACGTACCTTATTCTTTTCGTTTTGAATAATTTCTAATAGCTGGTCTATGTGCCCTTCTTCTATACATTTTTGCCCAGCTAACTGAAATAGGCCAAAATCCTCTTCTTTAAAGTCTTGCTCTTCTAGGATTTGCTGGCAAAAACAAAAGAAACAAACAAAAAAATGTGTATGCAAGTAAAAATTAAACACAGTAACTTCTTATCTATTAAAAAAGAACTGTTTAAATTCTAGATAAATGTAACATAAATAACACGTTATCAAAATTAGGATTACCCAAATAAATACTTTAATAAATGACCTTGAAATCTACTGTACCAATGAAATCTGTGGATCAGGATTAAAATGTAAAAGGTTATTTAAATAAGTATGCCACCTGGAGAAATAATCCAATCTGCCTCCCCCACTCATGCTCTTTACAGGTCAAAAAAAGCAAGGATTAAAGAAGATAAACAATTTGAGTGACCACAAATATAATTAAAAACAATCTATGCCCTTCCCATATTTTGAAAGGTATTTAATTTTACAAAAATAAAAAACATACTTACACATCTCTTTATTATGGACTGAAGTTCCTCTACAGCCATTCCTATTTATCCTAGCTTCGATGATAAAATCTACAAATACAAAACACAGCTATCTGTGATATTACAGAAAAGTATTCAAAAGTTATATTTCAGTGTGATAAATTATTACTAAATACAATAAAGAAAATATAAAAGTTTTTGTTATTCTGTTTTTTTGGTCCGACAGCATGGTAGGAGAAAACGTAAAGTTTTAAAGTTGAAATGTTATTACTGAATCTTAGTATCTTAGCCTAAGAAAATAAAGTGTTTTTTCAGAGGCCTTTATTGCATCTTTCAAGTTTTCTATGAGCATAGTTTTGAAAGCTACTTGGAAGGAAAAAAAAAACCTTCTCGAGTACTCCCAAGAGGCGAGGCAAATACGGACTGAAGGGCTTTTAAAAGGCAAAGTATTTATTTTCTCAAAAAAAAATTTCCAAAAGGTGGACCTGAAATCAAAATTCTAATCATTAGGGGATTTTTTATTTTTTAATGTCTCACCTTACAAAAATTGGGGTGCAACCCAATTACCCACAGGGGTAAAGGTTCAGATGCCCTCCATCTCGTTTCTCTCTAGGAATTGCAGTCCCCAAAGTAATCAATCCATCTAGTGAAATCACTGTATCTATCACACGGAGACAAGGTAATCAGCGGCCTTCAGGAAGAGACCATCGCTTCTCCCGGCAGAAGAAGCCCTCATTAGGGGCGCAGGTCAGCCAGGTCCTCAGGACAACGCGCGTGCGGGCGGCATCAGAGGAAGCCATGTCTTCCGATTCCTGCTCGCCTAGGCGGGCAGGCTCCACCACCTCACTTGGCCTAGTCGGCCCGCGGCACCAAGTCCGCCCGCGGTTCACGGCCAACCGCCAGCCCTGGCCACCGTGAACCCTTCCAAGACTCCACTTACCGGCCAGGTCCCTGGCCTCTCTCAGCCGTCGCCACCTCCTCCGGTCGCCTGGGCTGCTCTTCTGGCCCCGCCCCACGCCAGCCGAGTCCGCCCCGCGCTTTGCGTAGGGAGGCGGGGCCTCGGGGCGAGACGCCGGATCTGAGCCCCGTCCCGCTGGCTACTCTCACGCATGGCGGACTGCGCAGGGTCGCGCTCCACCGGCCGCAAGGCCGGGACTCGCCGCCGCTCTCGAAACGCCGCAGGTAAGAGCAAGGATCTCTTCCCACTTTTGGACCCTGAAAGCTGGGCCCTGGTCGAATTTCAAACCAGCGCGCCGGAGCTTCTGAAAGGCTGCTTCAGGGGAGGGGTTCTCCCAGGCAGAGAAGGCCGAAAGCTTCCCACCGCCGTGCTCGCACCTCCTGGAAAAGATCTCCCTGCCGTCTCTCACCCCTTTACACCAGTGTTCTAAGATTTCCCTCACGAGGGCTGTAGCCCCAGCCTCTGAGAGAAAGGACAGTGGAGGTGCCGGGAAGCCAGGCCTGGGGTCCCCGGGGTTCGGGGCAAGTGACTAGGGCAGCGTTGACAGCTGGCCTTGAACCTAGGACCGGTCCTCCTTTCCAGACTGCTTGGGTGCCTGGTTCTTTGAGGTGTCGGACTCCCCTTTTACCCGAGAGACGATGTTTGGCGGACAGAGAGAAGTTCCTCCTTAAAAGTACCCAGATCTCAGATTTTTCAAGAGTGGTTAATTAAGCAACTATGATAGAGGAGAAAATTAAATCCCCAAAGAGAAACATTTGAACCAAGAAAAATTAGACAGTTATCAATTTGCAAAAACAAATTGCATTCCCATCCTATTTCATTTTGATTTACACACGATTGGACATAAAATATGTGGAAAAGAAAAAAAGTTTGTCTACAGTTTGTTATTTAGGTAGGAATCTATCTTGCACCTAATGTGTTTGTGTACACTTGACCTACTGCCGCCATTGTGTGGCTTAACTGCAGGGATGCATTTTGAGAAATGCGTTGTTAGGCGATTTCGTCCCTGTGTGACCGTCATAGAGTGCACTTACACAAACCTGGATGGTATAGCCTACTACACGCTAGGTTATGTGGTACAGCCTATTGCTCCCAGGCTACAATGCACAGGATGTTACTGTACTAAGTACTATAAGCAATTGTAACACAATAGTATTTGTATATCTAAACTTAGAAAAGGTACAGTAAAAATACAGTATTATTAGCTTAGACCGCTATCTGTATGCGGTCCATCATTTATGGCAATGTCATTATGTGGCACATGACTGTATTTTTATTGTAGGTACTAAACAGACAAGTACTTTGAAACAAGAAGATGCTTCCAAAAGGTATGGCAGCTACATGGACAACTACATTGACATAGCTACTTATCTCATATTACTTGAACCAGTTTTAAAACAATAATGGTTACTTTTTTTAGAGAGAGAAAACTATGAGAAGGAAGAGAAAGATCTGGGAAGGCCTATAAATTCTCACATAGACTGTTACATACATCTATTCTAGGCTTTAAGAAAACCAGACTGAGCACTCAGACTGCTAGTGAAGGCATGAGTGTCTGTAGAAGGTGTCTGTGACTGGGCGCTGTGGCTCACACCTGTAATCCTAGCACTTTGGGAGACAGAGGCAGGCGGATTGCCTGAGCTCAGAAGTTCAAGACAGCCTGGATAACACGGTGAAACACCCTCTCTACTAATCTACAAAAGAAGTTAGCCGGGTGTGGCAGCACGCACCTGTAGTCCCAGCTGCTTGGGAGGCTGAGGCAGGAGAATTGCTTGAACCCTGAAAGCGTAGGTTGCAGTGAGCCAAGATTAGGCCACTGCACTCCACCTTGGGCAACAGAGCAAGACTCCGTCTCTGGAAAAAAAAAAAAGAAGGTGTTTGTTTGTTTTTCACCTCTTCAGGTATACTCTCCTTTTATTGCCAGAGACTCACTCTACAAGTTTCTCTATCACTCCAAGAAACCTTTTCTGTTCTTTGTTAGATCAAGTCCAGATTTTCATCAAAAAGTTGTCATGTACTAGTTCTGGTTCTAAAAAGGCAAGATATTACCACTTATCACACAAAGTTTTCCAGAAGAGGAGTAGAAGAATCTGAAGGGGATTAGTATATAGCTATGATTTTCATTTTGTGGAGACTCATTAATCTTATATTGGCTTTTGTCTAATTACTCATTATTTCAAAAATTATTTATTGAGTGTAAGATATGCCAGACCTGTGTTAGGCCCTGAAGATATGGTGAACAGAATAGACACAGTTCTAATCTAGTAGAACAGAAGAATAAATAGTAATAAATTAATTAGTTAATTAAGATAAACAAATACATAATTACAAATTGTGATAAGCACTATGAAGGAAAAGACTGTGATGTTATGAGAAGGAATAACAAAAGTCTAATTTAGTTGGAGGTGGGTGGCAGGGAGGTTGGCTGTGAGTTTTCAGGGAAAGCCTTAAGCTGAGCCCTGCATGCCAAGCAGACATTAACCAGACAACCAGCAGTGAGGAGAGACCTCCAGCCAGAGGTGACCGTGTGTATAAAGACTTCTGTATGTGCAGTGCAAAAAGTAACCTGTTTCCTTTTTGAAAAAGTATTGGATCAAAAGTAACAGCATTAGAAACTAGAAAATTGGCTGGATATGGTGGCTTATGCCTGTAATCCCAGTGCTTTGGGAGGCTGAGGTGGGAGTATCGCTTGAGGCCCAGAGCTTGAGACCAGTCTGGGCAACGTAGTGACACCTCATCTCCACAATTACAAAGAAGTAAATATTTTTATTCAAGAAAATTTCTTTAATATATATAAATTTAAGTGGCGAAATAGTGAGTTAAGTTAGTGTTGTATTTTAAAACATGGAATATTGGACATGATGAAGCTTATAAGTAGATTAACTTTCTCTTTCAAATTTTAGGAAAGCAGAACTAGAAGCAGCTGTGAGAAAGAAGATTGAATTTGAGAGAAAAGCTCTACATATTGTTGAACAGCTTTTAGAAGAGAATATTACAGAAGAATTCCTAATGGAGTGTGTATGTGTTAAGTTGACAAATTATTAGTTTGGTAGTATAACAACTTTAAATCTGTACAACATAAAACTTCTTTGCATTATTAAAATCTTTGAATTTGTTCTTAGTCATTAGATGCAGATAATAATCTATATAATTCATGCATTTTAAAATAAACAGTTATCATGCATTCCTTGTATAATGACTTTAAAATACACTAATGAAAAATAACAAGTATGTAATAAGGTGATGATAGGTAATGTATATTTAAAAATTAATAAGTGTATTTTAAATGTTCTCACCACAAAGAAATGATAAAGATGTGAGGTGGTTATGTTAATTAGCCTGATATGCTCGACATATACATGTGTTAAAACATCACATACTACCCTACAAATATAAAGAATTAAATATAAATACAATTAAAAAGAAAAAAGAGGCCGGGCACAGTGGCTCATGTCTGTAATCCCAGCACTTTGGGAGGCCAAGATGGGTGGATCACTTGAGGCCAGGAGTTTGAGACCAGCCTGGCCAACTTGGTGAGACCCCCATCTCTACCAAAAATACAAAATTAGCCAGGTGTAGTGGCTCACACCTATAATCCCAGCTACTCAGGAGGCTAGGCATGAGAATTGTTTGAACTCAGGAGGCAAGAGGTACAATAAGCTGAGATCACACCACTGCACTCCAGCCTGGGCAACAAGCATGAGACTCTAATAAACAGAAAAAAAAAAAAAAATGAGGATGGGGAGGGAAAAAAAAGAAAAAGCAAGTATATTTTACTCTTAGTTGTAGTTCTTTTAACCAGTCTGCTAATATCACTTGATTTTCTTCAGTTCTGTGATTGCAATGCCAGTTTTCTATATTCTGTGTTGTGCTGTTTTAAGTAACAGAGGAATATTATTCTTGTCAATATAATTTCATCAATTTTGATATTTTTAAAACCTGAAATATAGATTATTTATGATTTAACATAAAATGGGAGAATTATAATCTGCATTAAATTTTTTTAGGCTGGGTATAGTGGCTCATGCCTATAATCCCAGCACTGTGGAAGCCAAGGCGGTAGGATTGCTTGAGCCCAGGAGTTTGAGACCAGCCTGGACAACGTAGCGAGACCCTGTCTAAAAATTTGAGAATAAAAAAAATTTTAAACAGCTTTACTACATTAAAATTTTGAATGGAAAATTTCTTTCATATTCTCATAATCCTTAAGAGGACAAATAAAAACTCAGGGCTTCTATTTCAAAAACACTTCTAGTATGGTTCATAGATCTTTTTCTAAATAGAAATATGAACATGACAATTCTTTTTTTTTTTTTCCAAGACAGAGTCTCCCTCTGTTGCCAGGCTGGAGTGTAGTGGTGCAATCTTGGCTCACTGCAATCTCCAACTCCCTGGTTTAAGAAATTCTCCTGCCTCAGCCTCCTGAGTAGATGGGATTACAGGCACATGCCACCACACCCAGCCAATTTTTATATTTTTAGTAGAGATGGTTTCACCATGTTGGCCAGACTGGTCTTAATCTCCTGATCTCGTGATTCACCTGCCTCGGCCTCCCAAAGTGCTGGGATTACAGGCATGAGCTACCACGCCTGGCTGACAATTCACATTTTAATTGACACAGCTAACTGCATCAGAATCTATGATGACATCAAAAAAGACAAAGGCAAATATGCTTCATTTGAAACATAAAACTTGCATCACTCTCAAAAAGTATTTTAGTCCCTGTGAAAACATAAAAACTTGTTAAAAGATCTCAAAGTTATGAAACAGGAATTGAGATTATTTGATCATGAAGATATAAAAGGAAAATATTTAATGTTAGCTTATAACCATCACCTCACCACTCTGTACAGATTTTTCAGCAGTAGGAAGATTTTGCACAAAATGTGTTCAGGAGTCACAATGACACCTTTAAAATACTTTCTTTTTAAAGATTATGCCTTAAAAAATAGGTAAC